TGGTCCTTAGCAGAAAAAATTCAAAGAACTCTGAGCTTTTTGTCAATGAATTTTGGAAAAAAAAAAACCAAACTAGAAAAATACTCATATATAATAAACTTTAAAAAAACTCTTAGCATAGGGACACAGGATTGCAAATGACTAAAGGAATATTTGGTGATAATGGATATTCTAGTTGTGCAACAAAATAAGGCTTGTTCCTAGAACTAACCCATAGCATCCTATGCTATGAGCAAAGATTTCCATCTGTGGTGCCATACTGACATTTGACTAGGAAACATGCTACCCTCTTGGATAATCCAGGCTCTTTTCTCCCTGCTTTTGTGCTATCAATGTGGAGGTAACCAATACATAATACATCCATGATTCTGCTTTGCTGCAAGTTAGCAGCCCAAATAGGTAATCATTGGAACAAGTTCAGTGCTGTTGCATTATGCATTAGAAAAAAACTACAGCCAGTGTCAAAGCCATAAAGGTAGGCTGCCTGCTGGTCCTGATAGCAGTCAGGTTGTGTTTACTGCTTATTAATTATCCCAGAGTAGAAGAATGAATTTCTGTGAAGCATTTCCAAATTCCAGCCCCAGGAGGTTATTAGTAAAAATAAAAGTGAAATTCAGAAATAGCAGCCTTCATTACCTACTTAAGTTTTAAACTAATCTTTTGCATGTGTGCTGCTTTCTACACCTAAATTAGAAATCTAGCTTCTCTTTTTAGTTTTTTTCTTGAAGTGGTAAATATAATTTTTGTTTTAGACATCATTTTATGTCACTGCACATTAGCTTTATACTGCCATTTATATTTATCATATAACTATGACATGTCAGGAGCAATCAGTTTTCTATTGTTCCTTTGTAGATCTGTGCCCATTTTGTTCACAGCATTATTTCTGTCATACTTGTTTGCTTCTCACACTGGAATTTCCATCTGGGGTTACTTAGAGTTCAACAGTAAATGGTGATTTTCCTCCAAAGTTACACCTTTCTGCATGATCAAATTTGATCTCTTCCTTGTGCGCATTCACTTTTACCATCCTTTATCATGACCTCAAGTAGTGATCACTATTTTATTCTTCTCAAAGTTCCAATTTTAAGATGCCTTTGAAAAATCATGGTTGTGTTACACAGTTCTGAGGTTTCAGGAGAGACGTGTATACATTGTTTAATGGTGTCTTGTTACTTGAGTTTTACAACCAATTTATTTAAAAAAGCATCTTCTAACTCAATCAAGAGCGTCCTTCCAAACAAAAATCTTGAGAGAATTGATGGGACCAGAGTAAGATGAAAATCTGACTGCTCTCTGTTAGGACAGTCTTTGTTGAAGCAGTAGACTTGCCTCAGTCTTTGTGGCTGATCTGAGCTGTTGTGCCCACTCTGGGAGGGGGTTTCTCAAGGAAACAGAAGCCCTGCAGGGCTGCACAGCCCCTTCTGGATCCAAACTTGAATCTGGAAGATGTCAGGAAATCCCCACACTGTGATTACTGAAACCAAGAGCCGACAAGGGAGCAACAGTGATTTCTAAGTGGTTTTAATGAGGAGTTCCAGCAAGCAGTACCGTGCTCAAAAAAGCAGTGGTAATTAACTGATACATCTGCACAGCATAGTACAGCATCTACTCAGAATACCTGAGTCCATTCCATGAAAATACCAAGACATTATTCATGAACCTCTGCTTTGCTTTTGCATTGTTTTTCCTCTCCCTTTCCAGTCATGTCACAGGAAAGCTGTATCTTCACTCAGGCTTCCATGGCAGGCTGGTATTCCCACATATACAGCACCACAAGATCTATTCAGCAAACCAGTTTATATCCACCACGTTACCCAATTGCAAGTGAACTTCCTTTAACTTGCAGTCCAGGTCATCACCTTCTCATGTCAGCACAGTTACTTGAAATATTTCACATCATAGCAAGGTTGTAAGATCTTACAGATAAGTAAGTGTATTAAAAGATAAAATCAAAATAGAACAAATATTTGGCTACCAGCTGAAAAGTACTGATATGTGATTTAATTTAAAAGTGATCAATCTCATGGAAGACTTTAAGTGGAAATGTCTGGAAAGTTGAAACCTTTTGGTGTTCTGTACAGGCTATGAAATAGAGAAGCAGAACTTTTTGCTTGCTTATAATTAAGAGGTATTTCATGTTCATCTCCTTGTTACCTTGATCTGCATAATTACAATATCAAAAGTGAACTATGCTTGCTTGCTTTCCTGCCCCTCATTTTAACATCTTGCTAGCAGTTTAAGGAAGGAATAATCTAATATGGATGGGTTGGGATAGGCTTGGCCATCAAAGAAATTATGAAGAAATTCTACTATACAGGTCACTGAGCACTGGGACAGATTGCCCAGAGTTTATGGAGTCTCCCTCACTGGAGCTATTCAAGAACTATCAGGATGCAATCCAGTGCCATGTGCTCAGGGATGACCCTGTGGTTGGACTAGATGACCCACTGGTCCCTCCTAACTTGATCTGTTCTGTGATATAGTAATGCTCAAACTGGTTTCATAGGAAAAAAAATAAAGTTTATATATTTTGTGTGGTCATAGATACAAGGAAGTGTGGAGAACATATTGTATTAGGGTCGCCCCCAGACCAAGGAAGGAATGATGAATCTGACTCCATGTTATCAGAAGGCTAATTTATTATTTTATGATACTATAATATATTAAAGAATACTAAAGTATATTAAAGAATACAGAAAGGATACTTAGAGAAGGCTAAAAGCATAATAATGAAAATTCGTGACTCTCTCCAGAGTCCCGACACAGCTTGGGCCCAATTGGCCAAAGAGTGAAAACAACTCACAGCAGAAACCCATGAAACAATATCCAAACACATTCCACATGAACAAAACACAGGAGAAGCAAATGAGGTAATTATTGTTTTCATTTTTCTCTGAGGCTTCTCAGCTTCTCAGGAGAAAAATCCTGGGCAAAGGGATTTTTCAGAGGATGTGAATGTGACAAGTACACAGTAATTTTCCACTATGATGAGCACCCTCCCCAAAATCTATATTCATAGCTGTTCTCAAACGTCACACATGCTAAAAGTGCACCTTCAAAGTACATTAGGGAAAACCTGGTATGCATCTGGAAGGGTGTCATCACTGTGTACTGGTGTTGAACTGTAGTTCTCTGATAGAGAGAGGACTCCAGGTAACACTTATTCATGAGCTTCTCCACCCCTGCAAATCCTACCTGCTCTTCTGCTGTGTTTTGGTTGTACCCCTTTATATTTGTTTTATAAATCTATTTACAATTTGTAAATACAAATTGCAATATTTGTATTATTTGACTTTATTGACTGCTTTATTTGACTGGTGCTTTTTGCTCAGTCTCAAACTGGGAAAAGTGAGCCATAAGTATGTAGAGGAAGATAATTTATTAGCAGTGTTCCCAAATCATTTGTCATAGATTCACAGATATCAGTGCTTAAGTTTCATTAAATTGAATTTCATGTTATTTGGAAAATCCTATTTGGAAGTTGCTGATGCTTGCTATTTCAGTAACGTACAGCTTTTTGAGAAGACAGCTGGGTTAATACATTATTGAATATTTTTAGAATCCTTTAATGCTGAGTTCACAGGATTCTCCAAGTGAAGTAGACTTAAAAGCTGAGAAGTTTTGAAGAGAGTTTTACTTTTACTTTGAAGTTTCTAAGGGTTGCTTCAGTTCTAGTGCCAGTAAAACTTAGAACATGTTCTGGAAGGTTATAAATAGCAGCAGTGAAACAATGGATTTAATTTGGCAAGGCAAAGGAGGCCACAGCTTACAGTGGGTACAAATGTGTGCTGTGGTTTTACAGAACTGGTAGAAATTAGGCTTTTAGGGATAATTTTTCACTGAAGTAGCATGTAACCATGACTCAAATTTCCCTCATGTATTAGGAGAGAAAAAAAAATGGTGTTCTTTCAGATGAGTTCACTCGGGTTTAAGATACATGAGAGAACTTCTGCCTGTGTTAGGCTAAATAGTCTTCCCATTAGAAGCCCTCCTTTGGCTTTCTCCAGAATCAGGTCATGTCATTTTCAACTAAGTGTCTTTTTTTTAAAGGTAATACACTCAAATCAGGTTTTGCTGTTATTTTATATTTTATTGCTATTTTTACTTTTTGTGTCTATTATTTTATTATATTAATTTTTATGTTATTCTCTTTTTGCTGGGTTTTTCCCCCATTTTTTATAGTTAAATGATCTTTCTATCATGTCTACTATTATGGCTTGTAGTTAGCTTTCTTTTAGGTTACTCCTAGAGCTGTCAAAAATAACATCAGAAATTGTCACTGAGGAATACTGTCTTGTAAAATTGATCACTGTAAGCCAGTAACAATAAGACAAGGACTGAAATTCTCTCTCTATTTAAACATTTCTCAAACAGTTAAATATCCAACAGAAGCAAAAACCACTGAGTATAAATGAAATGGCTCACACAGTCTGTGTTCAGCATCCCAGAGGTGTAGATGGCCACTGCTTGGTTCTCAGCTCATTTATTTTTCTTCCAGGTTATAGGAACATTTTTCCTTACCAGGAGATGAGCTCCTATAGGAAAGGGTTGTTGGAAATGGAAAGCAGTTCAGTGAGATTTATCAGCTATTTGTGCTCTTTAAGCCAAAACAAACCACGTGTTTATTTTGCGGAACCAGAGAAGAAAGGAGTTGATGAATTATGGGCTGACCTCGTGCAGGAGGATTAAACACTGGCACTAATTAATGGCCAGTTAGCAGAGCACCATCTTGATCTCAGTGATGGTCAGCTGCATGGGGGCCATAAATCCAGACTGCAAACAGGAGCATCCTCAAGATGCTTCATTCCAGCCAAGTGGCATGGTGGCCCTCAGCTGCTGGGACAGTGTTTAATAGGTCAGAGTTTGGGATTTGCAGATCTATCCCATTCCTGCTGGCTGTGCAGCTGCTCAGTACTGTTGATAATTGTTCTGATTGTTCAGCTGTTGGTAATTGTTGCTTCAGTAGGTTTTTACTGTGCTCTGTTTTCCCCTTGCAGGCTTTTGGCCAGTCCTTCTCCGTGCACCGCAAAGTGGCGGAAGATGGCGAGACGCGGGAAGAGACCCTTCTCCAGGAGTCTGCATCCAAGGAAGCCTACTACCTGGGCAAGATTCTGGAGATGCAGAACGAGCTCAAGCAGAGCAGGGCTGTGGTCACCAACGTTCAGGCAGAGAATGAGAGGCTCACTGCTATTGTCCAAGACTTGAAAGAGGTAAATGGGGCTGAATTTCTTTAGGGTATCATGGATAACGTGGTTCTGAGTATACAAAATATTACAGGAAATGAAAATGCTCACCTCCCAGTCTGTGATATTCCCAGAAACCACATGGCCTGAGAAGGCTACAATTTAATTATATTATAAAATATAACTTTTGTTGAGTTTAAACAACACCACCACCACCACCTTAAAAATGTAATAAAACCCAATTCAACAAGCTGTAATTTCTAAGCACCCTTAGCATTTTGCATTGTATTTTATAGTACTGCATTTTACATAAACACTTTTTCTGCACTCTTCTGATATTCATGCATCTCTTCTCTTTCTCAGCATTTACGTAATTTCTCAGGTATTCTGGACTGCCTAGAATTAGATGAAGCTTTTGCTGATTTTCTTTTACTGTAAAGCAAAATTAAAATGCATGCTCATATTGAGAAAATGGGTTACAGTAAGGAAGCCAGATTATTGACCATATGAGACATTGAATAATTTTGATGGAGAATTAAGTAGTATTTCGTAACTTATCTTTTTTCCTATTGGAATCTGAAAATTATGGAATGTAGCAGAGCAAGTACATGCAGGGGAATGCAGCCCTTGGAAATGAGCCCACATCTTGCCTGCATTCCCTGGGAATGCTTAGACTTAGGGATTCTCTGCACTGTCCAGCTGCTGAAGGATATGTTTCCTATGTGAATCTGGAGAGTGATTACTTAATGCATTAATTTGTTAATATTAACAGTTGCCATGTTTTCTGTAGCTGGATGGAATAGCATCCTTTTAGCCTACAGAAAGCCCTGGAACAGGGTATCCCTGGAACTGAGGCCTTTACTCCCATTGAACATTTTTATTGTACTGCACTTGCCCATAATACAGATCAGGTTTCAGGAAGAAGTAGTACACATATGCCAGCTGTTCCCATATTCCAATTAAAATATTTGATTGAGATTGCTGTAGCAGTTGTTGCCAATGAAAATGAAATGTATTTTTAATTATTTTTGATCTGTTTGTCCTAAAATCCTATCCTAAAATCTTCCTGGTGGCAGACAACCAGCTGCTGACAGCCCTACCTGTTTGGTTTAGCTCACATGCCCTGATGACTTGGGGTTCAGACACAAACGAACAACCAAGTTAGAAAAAATGCACATTTATCTTTGTACTCCATACTTTTCCTCTGGGACTCCTTCAAATGCAAATCTCCCTTCCATTTTCCATCATGGTTATTGATCTAAGTTTGTTCAGGAGGCAGTTTCAGTACCTGTCCTCCCTGGAATATTGATTGTCCTCGTTTCCTTGGTGATAATAGTAACTCCTAATGTGAAGCCAGCTGCAATTATTTCCTGCTCTAATGCTAAATAGAATCAAGCCACAGTACTTAATTAAAGTGCAATAAAGGAATTTACTTGAATAAAAATAAGGCTGATAAACTGATTGTTATTACTAAGATGTTGTACCCCAAGTATCAAGTCCTTGACTAAGTGGAACTTTCATTTTGTGTTACTACAATCAATGAATGAAGCATAAATGGAATTAGTGCAGTCAGTTGATTACACCACACATTATTATGATTAATTACTTGAATAATAAGAAGAGATAGGGGATGATTGGCACCTACTTCAGTTTCTTTGTGATCTTTTCACACTGAATTACGCTGATATTTCACCTTGTGCTCAAAGGAATCTCGCTTGTGCTCAGCCTGATATCCCTTGGTCCTGTGGCTGTGATATCCAAGTGCCTGCTGAAAGGACATGACCTTCTCCTGTAAGTTTTTATGCATTTGTCTGTTTGGTTCTGCCTCCTGCAAGCAGGAAAAAGCAGGCTAAACTTACTCCAAATTTTGACAGCTACAAAGGTGAGGGGAAAAAAGTATGAAGTGTGTGGTATGTTTTGGGGTAAAGCCAGAATTAGGTGCTGTGTGGGTGGATTGCTACAAGGAAGAAGCAATTTGTCTCTTTAGGCAGTAAATCTGGAAATCTAATTAGAGTGAAAAATGAAAGAAAAAATATCATTTTTATTTGGGCCTCTGTACTGAGTGATGCAAAGATAGATGGGTAGATTCTGGACAGAAGTTACCTGATTGTATCCTGTCTTCTCCCCTCCCTGCCCTTTACCTCTTCCCCTCAAGAAAAACATGTTTTACGGCTGTTTTTTAGCCTTAATAAGATATTTTATAAACTAAACAAACAGGCAAAAAAAAATTCCTTTCACCTTCAGTCTTAATAGAAAGGTTTGAATAGCTGCTGTGTGGTTCTGGGAATAGTGTTTTTGCATGGATGACACAAATGTGTGGTAATTTCTCCATGCACTCATCCACTTAGGATACTGAAGACTGATAGGGGAGTTTTCAAAAAATGACCCTTGTTATTGGTATCACACTGCTAAATAATACACTCAGTGCTTCTCCACTCTCCAGCCTGTCCTGGGAGTTATCTGATGAATTCATTGTGCTCTCTGAATTTGCACAGAAATCCATAGTCCTATGAATGTGTATGAGCATTTTCTGAACCAGCAGAATACACTCCCATGAATGCTGATGGCTTTTAGCAATCCTGGGAATTCCATAGCCCTGGAGTTTAAAAATTCATACCTTTTAGCAAGTATCTGCCCTGCAGTCACAGCTGATGTCTGCAGGGCAGCTTGACCTGGATCTCCCTTGCTATAAAAGGGAATGTATCAGGCTCCGGTCTCCGGAGAATTATGCACCTCAGACTGCAAAAACAAACAAACTGATTTCAGTACCCATGTCTTGGATGAGAGGTTTTCTGAGAACTTGCTCACGTGCTTCACCCTGATGGGCATTAATGAACCAGGAATCTCTGAACACAGACAGCTTTCTACTTCATGTTAAAATGATTAAAGGAGGAAAACACCACCAGCTTTATTTTTGATGTAATAAAAATCCCTAGAGCATTGGATAGGAATCTTATTAACTATCACCTAACTAAATAAAATATACATTTTGAAAAGCTGGTAGATTTTTTTTCTCCCACTAAGACCTCAGACAGGGAATGTAGGCTGTTTAATTTGAACCAAAACTACACAGATTTTAAAACTGAGACCAGAGAGATAATATTTTGCAGTCAGAGACTAGATTTACAAAATCTGTTTGTTAGGCATCACACAGTTTATGGTGGCAGCCTCTCTGTATGGAGAGATCATTATGGTAATTAGATCATATAACCTTCTCTAACAGTGTATAAACTGCCCTCATTTATTATAAATATTTTTTAAATACTTTTCTTTAAAAAAAAAATCTTTTAAAAAGACAATTTTTATCCTTTTCTAATTTTCTGGAGTCTATTTTTTGCCTATTTAAAAGCGCTGTTCACTTGCAGTTGGGAGATGAGTAACTTTTTCCTCATTTGTGCCAGTGTGAAAATCTCTTCTCATGATAACCATAAATATTTTATTGCTGTATAGAGATGTAGTCACCACCTTGAGAAGCTGATAACTGGCAGAGGTGGTTATCAAAGCCCAGATGACCCAGCTCAGAAACTGGAGAAAGTTTTCCATGCCCACAGATGGGAAATCTCCATATAGAGGTGATGTCTGTATGTACTGCTCCATCATGGGAAGGCTGAATACCTTGGAGCTGGGCACCTGACTCAAAACAGGTGGCAACTGGAGGGGAAAGAGAATGAGGCAAAGATTGAAGCAGGTGACAGTGTAGAAAATGGAGATGAGTGATGGTTCAAGGTTTGTAGGTGTTACAGGACTCGGCTGATGAGTTGTTTGGGGTGGATGGGTCAATGGTCTTGGTGTCTGAAGGGGCTGGCAGGTATGGATCAGCTCTTTGTTCCCATTAAAACTAGTGAAAAGGAGAAAGCCAGGAGGAAAAGGGTTAAAACTCATAGGCTCTCTACTAAAGAGCCACTGCAGCAGCTGTGGGGATTGCACAAAGAAATCAGCGCCTGGGTACCTGCAGCCCATGAGATAACAGATGAACGGGGGGTTTATGTGATGGCAATATTAATGGGCCATGGAAACAGCACACACCTGGGTTTCTGGAGGGCAAAACCAGGAAAGAGGGCAGTGAAGAGTGGGGGGAGAGAAAAATAAAATTTGTGATGTATTATTTGCTGAAAGCAGGGGAAAAAATGTCTAAGGTGAAGTTGTGCTGCCCTGCTGCCCTTGAAATCGATAGCTAAACAATTATTTGCTTCAGCAGTATAAAAATCTTGCACTTCATGCTAATTAGAAAATGTGTGGGCATGGTAGCCTGGGTTTTTTTGAGGGGAACTAATGTTTGAAAACAGAAAAAATTTACAGTCATTGTCTTCAAGCTGATTTTCATCTAAGAAGTTATATATTAAGAGCTGGACTTTCTATATTAAATATGGCTTAAATCAAAATTTGCTGTTTCCTATTTAGAAATTATATTTTTTTCCTATGTGAAAATTAGGGTTTTTTCTCTTTTACACTTTTGAGTAAAACCTAAAACCTTTAAATGTGAACAACTTTAGTCAAAACCTTGTCATGGTTTTGACCAGGGCAAACACACCAATTTCAGCTTCTTGTTTTGCTGCTTTGGGTTTAGATTTGGGTACGTAGTGCATCTGTATAATGCAGGTAGTCTATAGTAAATGCAGGCCCACTGACAAGAGGAGAGAATGATGCATCCATGTTCTCAGAAGGCTCATTTATTACTTTATTATACTATAATATATTAAAGAATACTATACTATACTAAAGAATACAGAAAGGATACTTACTGAATGCTAAAAAGATAATAATGAAAACTTGTGACTCTTTCCAGTGTCCTGACACAACTTGGCCCCAGTTGGCCAATGAGTCAAACTCACACCAGAGTCCAATCAGGCAATCACCTGTGGGTAAACAATCTCCAAACGCATTCCAGATGAGCACAACACAGGAGAAGCAAATGAGATAAGAATTGTGTTCCTGTTCTCTGAGGCCTCTCTTGCTGCCTTTCAGCTTCCCAGGAGAAAAGAGAGGAATCACTGCTAGGAATTAGGTACTGCAGGAAGCACCTGCAG